TCTTCAGAGTTAATGTAAGTAGGTTTATATAAAGACAGGAAATAAGATGAGTCGACAAATATTGATTTCCTAAATTTAAAAAATTTTCTGCAAAAAAAGTTGTAATGAATTTCATTTAAATCTCTATACTAGCCCTTTGAACCGAAAACTACATAGCCGGACGCCGTTGACAACGTAGTTCCAAGATGTTGGACTACGCTGAAGTAAATTCCACGTTTTATTAAGAGTCAATTTCAAGAAAGAAATCGGCGATCTCATCTCCAAACTGAAAAAAAAAATAAAATAAAACCTCTTCCTACAAGGAAATAGAGATAGAAGTCAACTCTAAAAAACAAATTTTTTGCAAATTTCCTAAAATTTTATGAGTAGGAAAAATAGAAATAAAAAACCGTATAAACAAAGAAGAAAAAACATCAAAAAAGTCAAACTACGATCGCAAATACGACAAATTTACCTAAAGTACATATCAAAGAAACTAGCATTCCGCGCAACTAAAATGTGTAAATGAGAACAGAGAGAGATTCATCAAGCTGCTTGAAAAAAATTTCCAGTTAAAATAAAGTCACTCTAACTATCCTTTAAATATTCATTCCCAATAAGTTATAAAGCTGACTGATATGCTTTGCACACAAATATTCTACAAAGAAAAATGAATTATAAGACAGTCATATTTTAGAATAAACTCCGCATTTACCCACTCAAAAAATTTACAAAAAAGCAGGTCAAAACTAGAAGCACAATGGTGAAGCAATCTAATAACGCAAGTATTTTGACGAACTACAGCTATAAATATCATCAAAAAAATTAAGCACTCATCTTTGTACTACTCTCTTAATAAGTCAGTTGCAAATTAGAATAAATAAAATTATTAACAATCAGCAGCCAACTAACATGCCAATGAAAAAAAGATCAAGAGCAACTGTAAAACTGTCTTCATTCACATACCTTTGAATCGAAGTAGCAAAATACTTCACGGCACTCAGATAGCTGCTCCTCAGCTGCCCCTACCATCGATTATCTGCAAGTTCATTGCGGAGTTTAAAGCGAGAAAAAAAAATGCATAAATTCCCGCATAAATCGCCGTAGCGGCTAAAGTCAGTGACAGATATTGTAG